GATAATTATGATCCCAAACTCTTACTATTAATTAATTTAGATTTTGATTGCTTAGTACGTTTGTTTTTAGCTACTTGGAACAAGTTTTCACAAACGTCCAAGCCCCGATTTTCTGTTTATATACAAGTTAAAATATTGTATTTGCGTTGGTCACAGAAAAATGTATGGTTGATAAAATACTAGCATTTAAAAAAAAAAATCATAGATTCAATTCCCGGAATTGCTCGCCATTTAACAAAAAACAAACTGTTGCTTACAATTCAACTCGGTTCATTACTCATCATCATTCAAGACTTTCAAGTCTAATTCAAATTTTGAGTGTTTTGGCCTCAACTATTATACAGTACTTATTGCATTTGTGAACTGTCTAGTAAAACTCGATGAAAGATGATTCTTTTACACAGAAATTAGGGAAAATCACGTTGGAAAACGATATTCCATAAATGATATAAATCATGTATTGATGATAATTAACCACCACCTCCATGTAAAACCGCTTCAGAAAACGTGTAATGGTTAAACCGGTCAAAGTAATGATTTACATGTGCCTATACTTTTCAACGTTTCATACTGCATGGAGTGAGAACGGCCAAACTTTGGCTTTTTTAAGAAAACACTCTTTAACACTAGTAACATTTTAATCAAATTGATTAAATTGATTAGGCTAGATGCACTGAATTTATTAAGAAAAGCTCTCAATGAATACGAATAGTCGAATACTATTTCTTTATTAGGCAATGTGATCGTACTAGTCATCATATCTAACGAAGGCAACATACCATAAACATTTAATTGCTTATTAGACCATTGAAATTATGTAAATTAATATCCAATTATACAATCGCTTTACACTTTATTTCTCTGATGATAAATCTAAATTTGGTCGTTATTATCCCTTTGATTAATTATTAATGTACCCATATTTGTTGTTGTTATCTGACCCGTACGACCCGACCCGACCATCCTTTTCTATAAAACAAATTAATACTATAAATTTGTTGCATTATTAATTAAAAGGCAAAATTCGATAAAACAGAAAATGCTCTCAGTTTCAGCCTCTCATCACCACTAACCAGAGAAATTCTC